CTATCTATCTATCTATCTATCTATCTATCTATCTATCTATCTATCTACTTATCTATTTACCTACCTACCTACCTACCTACCTACCTACCTACCTACCTACCGGCTTTCCTTATCCTTTTCCCCCAAGGGAAGATCTGATGTTAATTGCTTAGCTGCTGATATTTCATAAGTTGCTGCATGTTTGCCAACATGGGTTTTGCATCTCTTGAGATTTCCATGAGTTAAGGTTAGAAAAGAAAAAGATAACAATGTGATCAAATGTCCTGAAAGGAACAGCATGAGTGCTTTCTGTAGTGTTCCATAAAGTGAAGTCAACAACCATGTTGTTGACAGGCTCCAGGGCTGCTTATCTTAGTTTGAAATGATCTGCCATATACAGCAAGTTGTAAGATTATGGGGGACAAGGGGTGTGCATGCATAGCATAACCATGCTCTGGATTCACAAGTCATACGTAAAATCAACTTGTCATTTTTTTTTTCAGATTCATGACTTATATAGATATTGGGAAACACAAAAATACTTGTCATTCTATAGCATTGCCACAGCTAGCTTTGGGACCATGGGGACAAAGACATTCAATCTCTGCAGACTCAGTGTTAAAGCATGCTGACAAGACAAAGTCACCTCTAAAATTTAATTGTCACCAGAGAAGTCCATGAATAGAGTTGATCCCCCACTCCTCTTCCCAGGCCTCTTATTTTCCTTTGTAGCCTTTTATATACTTAATTAGGGTTCTATAGCTTGACAGTCTAAGAAGAAGGATTAAAACTAGGCTAAACCAAAGGTTGATTAGGACTTCAAATGCAGTGCTGAAGCTCTCACAAGAGGGGTGTGTAGCAAACCAGACTTGAATTTGCATTGGTGTACAGCAGAGCTAACACAGTGTGTAGATAGAAACAAAGCAAGGACACAAAAATCCACAACTGCAATCCATTGTCCTGACCCAGAAAGGATGGAATTGAAGCGTAAGATATGCAAAAAAGCATTTACTTCTCCTTGACTCTCTGCTCTAAAAAGGATTTCTCAATTTGTACTATTCTTTTCAGTTGGCATCAGGGCTGAGTAATTAGCCAATGTCATTTATTGAGTGTCTGTTACTCCATGAATAATAAGATGCTAAAGGACTCAAAGGGGCACAGACAAGCCTATCTCTCCTATAATCTAACAGATAATGTGTATAAGCTCCACTGTCCCATATACATCCTCAATGAAAGTGTTTAAATACAGAACACTAAGCGACTAATAAAATGGCATGTACAGCTCTATAGCTGTACTTAATTATTTGTTTTAAAGGCTCTGTCTTTCCAAGGACAGTAGAAAGACATTAAATAAGCTTGTATTTCCACAGAGCAATAGGTAGATTTCATATCTGTGTTTTTGTTAGCGGAACTACCTTAGCAAATAATTCTGTTGTTTATAAAGTCTTAAATTTTTCATGATAGGCATATTAAAAGTATCTTTTCAAAAATATTCCCATTTTTGTTAGTCAGGCTTATACAAACTTTGAGTTATCACTGTTCCTTTACAACACTTGTCATTTCAGTCACACTTAAAGCTGCTCCCCCTCCCCATTTTGTTCATTACTTTTTGTTGTTTGTTTTGAGGAAGGGTCTAATTATGTTGCCTTAGATGGCCTGGAACTTGCTAGGGACACCAAGATGATCTCTAAGTCACAGAGATCTGCCTGCGTCTGGTATGTGCTATCATACCTGGCATCACTTTGTAAATTCTCATTGATCCTGGCACACCAGGTGATCCAGGGCCTGGCGCTTGATCTAAAGAGAGATACCTGAGGGCAAGCCACAAGCTTCTGAAGTGAGGTACACTAGTAAGTCACTGTCACTGCTCATGGGTGGAGCCAGGCTGAGCTGAACACCTCTATTTGGGAAAGTTTGATTGGGAGACATTCTGAGAGAGTCTGGAGGGCAGATACTTGGTATAGAAGGAGTGATGTATCAATCCACAAAAGCAAAACAAAACAAAACAAAACAAAACAAAACAAAAATGTTATAAAATGGTGTCACAAAGCAGTCAAAGCCAAAGCCCGGGGTAAAACAGAGGGTCTTGAGAGAAAGGAAGAGGAACCTGAGAGGGGGAAATGAAGTAAGTGTTCAGTCCTAAGTGTGGTGTCCTTATGTGCAGAGC